GTCGATAGAGCCGAACACACGCTTAGGAATGCGTTGAAAGTAAACGGAAAGTCCGACGAGAATCTTAAAAAACAGTTGACTGAATTGTCCGCATATTTACAACAGGTTTGCATTAATTATAAATACATCAAAAGTTTTGTTTACAAAAAAGTATTTTCAAAATTTAGATGCAATCGAAAGAAAAGTCAATTCAAAATTACACCATATTAAATTTGTTTAAAACGCCAACACTTCGTAAAATAACGTTAATACTGTGTTACTCTAGAATTGTAAACTCATTGCTATATTATGGCCTCAGTTTGAATATGTCTGACTTCGGGGGAAACTTTTACATAACATTCCTGTTGTCGGGAATCGTTGAACTCCCGTCTCAACTATTGTCGCCACTAATGCTCCGATATATGGGTCGCCGAAAACTCTACGCTCTCTTTACGTTCATAACTGGTGTTTCGTGTTTCGCAATAATTCCCGTCCAAAGGGAATGGATTAAAGTTACGTTAGCTTTGATTGGGAAGTTTTCTGTGAGCACTTCCTTTAATGTATACTCAATACACGGACCCGAACTCTTGCCCACAGTCTTGAGACAGAGAGGGATGGGTTTCGCTTCTTTTGTCGGAAGGGTTGGATCAATAAGCGGACCATTTATGAAGAATTTGGTAATTAATTAATATTTTTATTGTAATTACTATTTAATAAAAACTCTGTTTTAACTATTTATATAAAGGCTGCCAATTATGGCCTAACATTGGTGATGATACTGTACGGCTGTCTCATGTGTGTGGGCTCTGTGTTGGGACTATTACTTCCCGAAACCAAAGGCCGAGAAATTCCCGACACTATTGAAGAAGCAGAACGACCTTGCTATTCTGTCAAAATGAAAACTATTACAAATTAAACAACAAAATTATAATATGTCAACTGAATTTTTTTTTTGTAGAACTTAACTTATACTTTGTTTTGAAGTATTTCGTCCATTAAATTACTGGATTGAATATATTCTTTAATAATTTGTGTTCATTTTTTAAATATTCTATTTAGTTATTATTTGAATATTAATTGTTACAATTATTGTTGTATAAACATTAAAATACAAATATACAAAATATTCAAGTTTATACTTTAAATTAATAACTTAAATAAAATATTGTAGAAATTTCCCGGCATTTACAATATTATATCAATACATGTTAACTTTATTTGCTAACTATTTCCAAGTAATGCTTATATAGTTTATTTTATAGTGTAATGAGGGCTATCATACTGTTCAACATGTTGCAATTAAATTATACATAATTTTTAAAATAAATATATATTTTACATTGAATTCTTAAGGTCAGTAAATATACTGTTATCTAAAATATTTTTGAAATTCTATATATTAATGCTATACGAGATACGCTACAATACAGCTGTACATTAGTTAAATAAAAATTGTGCATTTAAAATAATTGATTAAATAAGGCTGAAATATAAATATTATAAACACAGTGAATTATATAGAGTACATTGTGTAGTAATATTTTAATTGCATAGAAAAAGTATATAAACAGCATAAATATTATGAAAAATATTAACAAATTTAAATTGATATTATTTGATACTATGTTTACTAAAACCAAGAATAATCACATTTTAAAAATAAAATACCAACTTATAAAAATATTATAAATTGTGATTAAACTTGTAGTTAAAATATAACATGGTCTCAAGTAAAATGCCAGAGGTGAAACATATCGCTGACATAGTGGGCGAATGGGGTAAATGGCAATTATTATTGTTCTCATTTTATTTTCTACTATTGGGAACCGATGCCATTAATAACATGGCCTATGCTTTTCACGCTTATAATAATGATTTTTGGTGCAGTGATGTTCCTCCAGACTATTCGGTATTTATATTCATTTAACTATTAGTATTGTTTTGTTAATAAACTTGTATAAAAATTTAAGTAATTATGTTTTTTTAATTGATAAACAAAATATTTTAAACCAAGACTTTAATAAAAGTATATTTTAATATTTATGTATTAAAAACAGAATAAAACAAAAGATATGAAATGTTTTAAATTCACGAATCGAAGCGAGAAATGCAATGAATGGACATATGATTGGTCTGTATTTGGAAAGACAATCAATACTGAAGTAAAATAATTATATTTACAAATTGTAACTTCAATTCAAGAGACAATAATAACAATTATATTATAAAACAGTTTAATCTAGTGTGCGATCGACAATATATGGCATCATTTTCGCAAACGGCATATATGTTGGGATATGTATTCTCTGGACTTGTATTCTCACACTATTCAGACAAATACGGCCGAAGGATAATCATTTGGATTGGATTTATAATGGAAATGATTGCCATTTTATCATGTGCTTTGTCTCCCAATATATATTTCTATTCATTTTCACGCTTTTTGGTTGGAATGAGTAGTTCTGGTAAAGGAATGGCTATTTATGTAAAATGTAAGTCAAAAATTGAAACTTTTATAAATAATAATAATCACAACTATTTGTAATTAGTGTTGGAGTGTTGCGGACCTAAACACAGGGGAGATGTAGTTATGTTGGGAAGCATTGGATGGGTGTTAGGTTACGCCACTATACCTGGTCTGGCGTATTGGCTACAGGACTACCGATACATGTCATACGCTTCCCTCATAGCGATTGGTTTAATGGCATTTTGGTATTACTTCATGTTTGAGTCCCCGCGTTGGCTCATCACCAATGGTCACATCGACAAAGCCGAAGTTGTGCTCCGGAGGGCACTCCAAATGAATGGCAAACCCGATGACAAATTGAAGACACAGTTGACTCAGTTGTCCGCATATTTACAAGAGGTATGTGTTTATTAAGTTTTTAACAAATGGTTACTTATTTATTAATTATAATAAACATTAGAGTCAATTAAATGAGAAATCCAAACGAAACCATACTGTCATAGATTTGGTCAAAACGCCAAAACTTCGTAAAATATCGCTCATTATGTGGTATTGTTATCCAATACACGCGTTAGTATACTATGGACTGAGTTATAACATATCGGACTTTGGGGGCAATTTTTACGTAACATTCCTGTTGTCAGGATTGGTAGGATTGCCATCACACTTAATACCGGTGCCATTACTTCGTTATGTCGGCCGCAAAAAACTTTTCGCCGGTTTTATGCTATTGACGGGACTCTCGTGTTTTGCGGTCATCCCATCCGACAGGGAATGGTTGACAGTTATGTTTGCACTGATTGGCAAATTTGGTGACAACACCTCCTGGAATGTCATGTCCATTATTGCACCCGAACTCTACCCCACAGTCTTGAGGCAGACGGGAATGGGTGTGTCCTCTGTTATTGGAAGGTTGGGTGCGATTAGCGGTCCATTTATGAAGGATTTGGTAAATTTATTTATTAATATTGAAACTTATTATTTGTTCTCATGTCTGCTTTAATATTTGTCATTTGCATAATAGGCATCTAATTATGGTTTATCACTGGTTATGTCGTTATACGGTATACTTATGTGTTTGGGTTCACTGTTGGCTCTCTTTCTGCCCGAAACCAAAGACCGGGAAATTCCCGACACTATAGCAGAAGCGGAGAATAAGGCGTTTCATACAAAACAAAATTGTTTTTATACGGTATACTTATGTGTTTGGGTTCACTGTTGGCTCTCTTTCTGCCCGAAACCAAAGACCGGGAAATTCCCGACACTATAGCAGAAGCGGAGAATAAGGCGTTTCATACAAAACAAAATTGTTTTAAAAATCAAAACAATATTTAAATAATGAAAATATTTAAAGATTATTTATTTTAAAATTTTATATTCTTTATACATTAATTACAGTATATTTTAATGATTAACATTTATTAAACAAATTGTTCATACTTATTGAAGCTATATTATTTATTAATATTAAATGATGACAAATGTATAATTTTTAACTATAATTCAGTTTAAGAATTTAATTTATAAGATCATTTTAATAATAATTGCATGGTAATGCTCATTATATTTTTAAAAACTTTGATAAATTCATTACGAATTGTAGTTAATCTATTGAATTGTTAACTGCAAGTATAGATACAATTTGTGGCTTTTGTAACATTTGTAACATTGACAAACTTCTTTACTATAAAACGATTTACATTACTGTTTTATTAGAAAATAAAATTAGAAATAATAATCAAGGTCATTTATTAAATTAATGCCTACAGTATTTGTTAGAAGATACTGTTAATTGACACTAATCAATTTAATCATGATACTGTACATAAGACATTTGTGTAAAATTTCAATTTGTATCTTCTATTCAGAAAACACCAAAACACGTCTTTACTAATTTTTACGCTTAATCTAATGGTGAAGTCAGAATATTTCTATAATTTGTTGTTTTTGCTGGGTGATTGTTGTTAATTTGGGTAAGTTTTGTCAAATTGTAGTGATAAATAATGAACTTGATTAAAAATATTCTGGTATTTTATCCGTCCCATAATTCCATATTTATCACAGAAATATTTATTGTTTTTTTAAATAAAAATGTGCATGCTAGCTTTACAAAATCTTTTTCAAAGTTGTTTTGCCTTATTGTATAAATATAAACTCTATGTAATATAATTAGTGTCAGTTCGTTCAGTTAATCAAACAGTTAATTCAAATGTAATTTAAATCAATTTATTACAATTATTTGGCGTAAGTATGATTATATCAAATCAATTTAATATATTTTTGAGGGCCATTGAATGCACTGATTGTAATAATACACAAATGTCACTGATAAGTAAATACATCCAAACTAAATTGATAAATATACTGCAGTTATAAGTGTTGTTAGCGTTGACTCAAATATAATTTACTGGAATTTTAAAATATTATGTTTAAAAATAGTGCTAAAAATTTATTAAATAAAATTATAAAATATTATTCTAGAAAGTTTATAAAGAATGGACACTAAGATACAAGATGTAAAACATATTGGTGATATAGTGGGTGAATGGGGTAAATGGCAGTTTGAGTTACTCGCCTTTTGCTTTATACTATGGAGTGTAACGTCCATTAATAACATGGGCTATACTTTTATGGCATATGACAATGATTTTTGGTGCAGTGATGTCCCGCCAGATTATCAGGTTTGTATAATATTAGAATATTACTTTTAATTAATTTACATATTTTAATTATTTATTAAGAATAAAACAGATGACATGAAGTGCTTTCAATTTAATAATCGTAACGAGAGCTGCAATGAATGGCAATACGATAGGACACAGTTTGCCAACTCTATTAACATTGAAGTAAATTCCTTTAAATTATTAATTCATTAAAAATAAGTTTAAAAATCAATTCAAAAATATAGTTTAATTTAGTGTGCGATCGGAAATACTTCGCTTCATTCACTCAAACGGCATTTATGTTGGGGTACGGCGTTTCTGGACTCATATTTGCTCACTATTCAGACAAATACGGCCGAAGACCTACTGTTTGGATATCATTTGTCATAGAAATAGCAGGAATTCTGCTCTCAATATTTTCTCCAAATATATATTTATATGCATTTTCCCGTTTTCTGGTGGGAACGGGCAGTTCGGGTCGAGGAATGGCTATATATGTGTCATGTAATTGATTTAATGGCAAATAACTATACCTGTTATAACTAAACTATATTTTAGTGTTAGAATGTTGTGGACCTAAGCATAGGGCAGACATTGCACTTCTTGCTGGTATCGGTTGGGTATTGGGTTACGCGGCTGTACCGGGACTGGCCTTATGGCTGCAGGACTACAAATATATGTTAATTCCCTCAATGTTTGGATTGGGATTAATGATGATTTGGTATTACTTTATGTTTGAGTCCCCGCGTTGGCAGATAACCAATGGACACATCGATAGAGCCGAACACACGCTTAGGAAAGCACTGAAAATAAACGGAAAGTCAGACGAGAATTTTAAAACACAGTTAAATGAATTGTCCTCATATTTAGATCAGGTTTTTATTAATTTTTTACTATAAATTAAATTATAAATTAATCTAAATATTATAAATTTAGATGCAATCGGAAGAAAAGTCAAAAAGAAATTACACAATATTAGATTTGGTCAAAACTCCAGGTCTTCGTAAAATGACATTAATTATGTGGTATTCATGGATTGTGACCGCATTGCTATACTATGGCATCAGTTTCAATATGTCTGACTTCGGGGGAAGTTTTTACCTAACATTCCTGTTGTCGGGAATCGTTGAACTCCCGTCTCAATTGATTCCACTCTTAATGCTTCGATATATTGGTCGACAAAAACTATTTAGTCTTTTTATGTTAATAACTGGTGTTTCGTGTTTCGCAATAATACCCGCCGAAAGGGAATGGATTAAAGTAACGTTAGCTTTAATCGGGAAGTTTGCGATCACCAGTTGCTGGAATGTTATGGCAATATTTGGACCCGAACTCTACCCCACAGTCTTGAGACAGAGAGGTGTCGGCGCGTCCACTGTTTTTGCCAGAATCGGGTCCATCGCCGCACCTTTTATGAAGAATTTGGTAATCATTCATATGATTAGAGATTTATATTTTTATAATTTATATTTCTGATAAAAGGCCGCTCGAAATGGATTAGCATTTGTAATGACACTCTACGGCACTCTTACTGTTGGGTCCGTTGTTTTGGTTCAATTCCTACCCGAAACTAAAGGCCGGGAAATTCCAGACACTATAGAAGAAGCAGAAAGAGCTACTCATTTGGAGAAACCCAAAGACAATAATAATATTAAATTAAATAAATTCTAATTTATTAATTGTATAAATTAAATAATATAAGTAAAATAAATCAACTTTAACAGTTTACCGGGTCAGACTATAATAATATGAATTCTCTAAATCCTATATTATAGTAACTTATTATGTATTGTAAAATTTTTATGATAACTTATTATAATTACACTTAAAAGTTAGCTTTATGTGTATTTAAGAATTTACACAAATATTTATTGATTAATAATAGATATGATTAATTATAGCTTAAAATCATTATAAACATTTAGCTGTAATATATTGTTTATGGCTTTTAAGAAGTTTTAAATTCTTATTAAAGTTATTATCTCCATATAATTATCGTTACATTAAATTCCAAGTAATACCACATTTTTATCATTAAACTGTCAATTAATATAATTAAAGTCATGGTCATTTGATTGATTGATGTGTGATATATTAAAGCATCTAACATAAAATGCAAATCAATTAATATTTGCCAAAAAAAAATAATAAAGTAAACAATGACAACTTACAATTTATAGACTATTATCATATTTTACTTAAAATTGCCAGTTTTCTACATTGGTTTTTGGTTGGATTAAGTTTAATTAAATTAAATATATTGGTTTGATTACAGTAAATGTTTTGCACCATAACATGATTATACT